TTTTTTTTGTGAATACCCACCCCCTCTTTTATTTTGAAGAATGCACCCTGATGCTCCTTCCCTCCTCCCCACTAAACTAGTGACTTCACTTTTCTTTTCTCAGAGGCCTGCCTTGTACCTTGTGTTTTATTTATTTAGAGCCATTGTGTTGTTAATTCTTCGGCAAAGTGCTGTGAATGCTTTTTGTGGAGAGAGAGACTTAACGAGCTGTGCACATACAAGGGCCTGGCAGTAGTGTGTGTTCTCTTTCAGGAACACGTGTGCGTGCCTGCAGTTCCCCACGCCCTTGTGTACATGTCAATACACCTACACTCTTTCTGGTTTGAGGCGTTTGGACCGAGTTCCGTAGACGAGCGTTAAAATAAAAGTTCTGAAGGGAAAAAAAGATTTTAAAAAATCACGAAGGCACCTTCTCTTTTATTATAAAAAGCCTAAATGACGGGTCTTCGGTTTGAACATGTTTTATGGAGTTCCCATATGTTTTGTAAATGTTTTATTTACCTGTAATTTTTTTATTTTTTATTGGTCCCTTCCGGAAACTCTAAATTAAAAAAATGTGTCATCTCTCCTGACGTTTTCTGGGTGTAGGATGAACTTTTTTTTTTTTTTCTGATCTGTGTTTTTGGTGCATGAGAGCTCTTTGTAGTTCATAGCTGGTGGGTTATGCTGGTGTATATGGTTCCTCAGCAATGGACAGGCTAGCACTCGGTTACTAGTTCCCATGCAGGGGTAGCTGGGTTGTTTGCCGGGACTTGCAGTTCTGCAATCCCATGGGATCCCAAGTACTGTGTTTGTTGGGACTTGTAGTCCTTTTTCTGTTCTGAGACTGAAAGGTCTCTTCGTATAGTCTGGTCTCTGTAATGACGTTACCTCTGCATTGCAAATCCTGATCCTCTACTCCTTAGGAGTTACCTGTTGCAATTGTGCCCATGATCCTTTTATCCGTATAGCTCTGACGTAGTCTGTGGCGTTTTTATAAAGACCGTTGCGCTGCTGACGTCCGTCTCTGCCCCGGAGAAGCTTCTGCCCTGATGTCTCCTGTTCATGGACACACTTTAGAACAGAGGTCTCAAACCTCCGGCCCTCCAGCTGTGGTGACATTACAAATCCCATGATGCATCTCTCTTCGGAGTCCCGTCTGTGGCTGTGAGAATCTTGCAATGCCTCATGAGATTTGTAGTTCCACCACAGCTGGAGGGCCGGAGGTTTGAGAGCCCTGCTTTAGAACCTGTTGGGTTGAATGCCAAATACACACAATATATTTCTGGGCTATGGCAAGGAACCAGCACCAAAATACATGGGTAGCTTACCGGCTCCATGCAGACAGTGTCCCCGGTGGTGATTTTTGGCCCAGGGACGGTCCGTAGAGTTTTATTCCTAGGACTACGTTTTCCTGTTCTCGATTGTAGTAATTATTCCGACGATTGATTGCCTCCAAAATATTAACTGCTCCGATCTCCGTAGGCAAAAACACCCTCGGCATGCCCTACCAGAAAGATGGACTAATGGGGATGGTCATTAACCCAAATGAAGTCTTCTGCTCCGTGCCCGGAAGATTGTCCCTCCTGAGCTCCACTTCAAAGTACAAAGTCACCGTGGCGGAAGTACAGCGTAGACTCTCTCCCCCGGAGTGCTTGAATGCGTCCCTGCTTGGTGGAGTCCTCCGAAGGTAAGCTTTGAGGATGTGTCATGTGAAAGGTTCAGTGGACCTTGTGGTTGGGCCGGTTCTTTTTGGTTAGATCGTCCTGGAACCATCCAGGGTGCAATTGCTGCGCAACTATGGATAAATTGTTGCTGCTGTACAACCAACTTTCTCTATAGGTGACAAATTCTTCACATGCGGACGGAAAATTACTCCTTTAGTTATAGGCCAGCACTGCTAAGATGTCACCTTTTGGTTTTTAGCCTTTTATATAAGCCTTCCAGCAGAAAGATCTATCTAGGAAAGTTCTGGTTCTGTCCCCCAGCTGAGGAGTCTTCTCCGACTGAATTTCCCATGGCCAAAAAAACCTAAATGAGAAAAGCAAGACCTCCCCTACCTTGGTCCCAAGGGGATCTTGGAGTTGAAACTCAGTCGAAGAAGTGATCAATGATGTTGGCCTCTGCAAAGGTGCAATGTCGGGTAGGCTTTCAGCATCCAACAAGTATAATACCCCAGCCATACATGGACATTTAATGATTGCCCTATGGAAGTTTAGAATGGTCATATAAAATGTGGATCTTGTATATTTAGCTGGGCAAGGCTAGACTTTGGCTTACCATTTATTCTTCTTCTATGGACAGAGCCCCTCTCGGCTAGGATTGGCGCTTGAGTTGTGGGAGGACAAGCAGATCTCTCCACCTGTTGCTCTTCGGTAGATATAGGCATATCTATGGACTACACAACTGGCCCATCCTGAGCAGTTTTAGCTTTGGTAAAACGTGTGACCTTCAGGGTCCAGAGTGGTAAATTGGCCTTAGAAGGTCTATATGTGGACAGCTAGTTCAGTGGATGTGACCTCTGATAGGACCATGGGCTTTATTCCAAACCCAAGTGCGTTCTGTTTCTGGTGGATGGTTTGCTCCACCATCCCTCGGCAGCAAACCACTCAGTATTTGTCGCCATGTGACTGCTTGCCATTGGAGGCCCTTTGGTTGAGGAGAATCTGCCAAAAAGAGGCATTTTATGACTTCTCCTAGGTGTCCCAAGTATCTCATGCATGAACATTGAATTTAATTGATTCCAACTGCTTTTAATTTCACGATGGAAGGTTGCGTGGGGTGGTTTAAAAAGAACAACAAACTCCCCTGTATGTCATTTAACTTAACCTTCTCTTCTTAGTTTCTGGTGCCACTCTTGTAACAATGGCTTGCTTTGTTCGGATGAAAACTTTTTTAAGGAGACCACAAAAGGGCAGACGCATAAGATGAAGCAGGGGGGGAATATCGTTACACCACATTGTGTAGGAACAGGCCAGCTAATTTAAATTTGAGCTAATTGTATTCAAATAAGGAGGAGGCTCCACAGTACCGTCTGCTCTGGTGTTGGGCTCTTCTGAATAGCAAGTCACTTCAAAGCCGTTGATCCTTTTTCTGAGGGCAAAGTTTGAGAAATGGAAATGCTTCTTTAATAAGGTCTGCCTACATTTAAAAGGGTTCATAGAAACCCCTGTGAAAGCCATCTCTATAGAGCATTTGACGTTTTCATCAATGTCTCAGGTGAGCTTTCTTGGGTGGGGTGAAGGGGAGACCCTTTAATATCTCAAAGCAAGAGGTCTCCATTTCTGAAGACCTAGCCACCGGGGATACATGTGACGGGTTAAGAGTAAGAGCCAGTTGGATGTGGCTTGAGGGCAGAACTGAGATGCTGGAGCTCTTGCAAACAAAGCCCTTCAGACCTCGGAGGTTAGTAGGTCATTGTACCTGTGGCCATCACCCAAAAACTAGCCCTTGAATTGTAGCAACCGAACGAAAGATCTGCTTGATTCAAATGTCATAATAATTTGAAAGTTCTTCACTTTGAAAGGGTCTTGAATATAATCCCTCAACAAGTCTCCGCAGATCGAGATACCTTTCTCGAGGTAGCTCCTGTGAAATTCTATCATTTTAATCCATTGTCTGTCACAGTTTGGATACATTGTTTAGTAATGCGAGGGAATTCTACCCTTGTCAGATCAATGTTTCCCTCCTATAAAGTCTTGTTGTCTTTCGGGACTGACGCCCTAGCAGATACCTGAGACTTGTTTGTTGGTTAAACACCCTATTGGGAGCATTGAAATTGAAAGGACTCTTCTGACTCTGTTCTCTTTTTTTCCCCCCCCTCCCCCAGAGCCAAATCAAAAAACGGAGGGAGGTCGCTGCGGGAAAAGCTAGAGAAAATCGGACTCAACTTACCAGCCGGGAGGAGGAAAGCTGCTAATGTGACTCTTTTAACGTCTCTTGTGGAAGGTTTGTCATGCTTTTGACCTGATTTAAAAAAAAATGTTGCAAATTTTATCAAATCAATTTGGCTCATAAATTTAATCTTCAGAGGACATCATTCATTAAAGGGCCAGCACCCCTGACCATGCACTGAACTTCATAGTCTAACAAATACAGCCTAATATGGTAGAGTGTTTGTGTTCTATGAACCTATCATTGTAGACCTTTTTTTTTGTCTTGAGCAGTTTAAATATCTATAATGAGCGCAAATTTAAATTTTGCAACTGTTGTGGAACTCTGATGGCTCCCATGTGGCCGCTGGCTTAACAATTGTAACGGGAGGGAGCCCTATAGATATCTAAGGTTGTACTTCTCATAGGCCCTCTAAGCCCAGACTATGAACCTCAAGAATTACCTTTGGGAAGGTTTCAGGGAGCTTGCTTGGTGGCAACAGTGGCTCACCTATGGTACTCCTGATCATAGATCTTCCGCGGTCGAAGAAGATGCTCATTATCAATGGGGAAGTGTAAGGACCCAGTAAAAAGAAGGGGGTGGGGGGGGGATGCTTAAAGTTGGGAACCTCATTTGCTTTTATTAAGCCTTTTTCCCCCAAAGTGAAATGGCAGCTTACACAGGACAGGATACGGTCTCCACGTGCTTACCAATGTGGACAATTTTACCATAAAGCCTTATTCAATAAATGGTTCTGTTGTAACTCAAAATCTGTCTGGCTAGCAGAGTTGGTTGCCCTTCCCTTGTATAGGGAAGGTTGTGACTGTCCCCAGGAGCTCTACTATATAAAATCTTTTGTTTTTTAGGTTTCCCAATTCCTGGAAAAGTAAAGCCAACTCTGTGTAGTTCTTGTCAGAGGAGGCGATGTGAGGGTTAACATTGCTCAGCCCTTAGTCACTTCCTCTCTTACGCCTGCTTGGATGTTAGGACTATAAGCTCTTTAATGGCCACTTTCTTGAGGTTTCTAATTGCGCAGTGTTATGGGTACCGCTGTAGCCTGCGTAGTTAACGGACACGATAAAGTCATGGCGGTTGATAAACCTGGCTGGCTTGTTAAGTTGAAGGCCCCTTTTTTGGTTCTTTTTACTTTCATGTTTCCTAGAAATAGATTTCCGCTGCGGGGAAACAAATGGGGAGGTGTTTTCAGTTACTCTGAGCTGGCCTGCAGATAAGAGGATGGAGACTGCTGAGACAACGGAAAATTGTATACTTGCCTATCGGTAATTTTCCTTTCCTGATGCCAATACATGGCAGCATAAAATTGAGGCGGAGCCATACCCATTGTATGCTGCCATGTATTGGTGTCAGGAAACATTTTATTATGTAGGACTGGTGAAGAGTAGTAGGTTGAATCCGCATTCAGGTCAGTCAATCAACCACTGAAGCCGGAGAGGACCTCTTCGTTTTACTCAGTAGAGGTTCTCTTTTAAAAAGCTACAGTAGTCCTTCTGCCCTCTTTTTGGGGGGGTGGGTGGGCGCCTTTTGATTACATCCTTTTTTATAAGGTTTTGTATCTGACACGAGTTGTCTACTTGCAGGAGAGGCGGTGCACCTCGCTCGTGACTTCGGCTACGTCTGTGAAACGGAATTCCCCTCCAAAGCCGTGGCGGAGTATCTGAGCCGACCACACGTGGAACGCAACGATATGGGCAATCGGAAAAACATGCTCCTTGCTGCTAAGTAAGTCTTTTTTCTTCTTCTACATTGATCCTTTTGTGTTTTTAAGGGTTTGATTTTCATGCAGAAAGACGTTGTATGGGATAAGTGGATCCTTTCCTACCATAATCAAGGTCAACATTTGTCATGCCAAGGGGCCACAACATCCCATCATGTACCACATATATACGGGGCCTATGACACTAGTTATGTACCAAATGCATACAATGACTTTGAGTAAAGGAGTATGGAAGGGTTAACACCCTTGTGTCCCCGATGGGGAGCTTTCCCCTCGCATCTGATCCTTTCACACTACAGATGGCAAGAAAACCGGACTGGTTCTAATCTTTCACCACTTCCTCCAGTAAGGTTTTGCCTATGCCAGATGAGGGGTGGCCACCCCAACAGGTTACTTTCAGTAGATGAAATGAATATGAAGGCCCTTTTTTCAGCTCAAGCTCGGTTCAAACTAGCCTTCTTTTTTTTTTTAAATATAAGGGTTTGGTACAACTGGTTTACTTTAAATCCTCAGATATTACGGCACAACGTGTAAATAATATTTCAAAGATGGCTGCGTGCAAAAGTAAAACAGTTTTTGAAGGGATTACTCAATCTGTCATTATTGAGCTCTCATCCATCGATATCTTTGAATATCTTATAACTCTCACAGCCTTGACGTTGGGATTGGAAGCTCATGGGAGGGGTTACGGTCTTTTGGAAGCTTGTGGGAGGGTCATATGACAAACGTAGGAGTACCTAGGTTTTGTTTCACTTCAGTTGTTTCTTGTAATTGTCATGAAACTGGTCCAAAGCAAGAACTTGCCTTGCCTACAGGCAGGTTTTTGGGTTTGTTGAGCCTTTATGAAGGAAGCTTCCTTTTGGAGGAGTATTTTCACCTTTCGGTATATTACATCTATGAAACTTCTGAACCTTTTATTTCAGTTTGTAATTGTTACTTTTAGATACGTTTTACCTTTTCAGAGGTGTGTGGGCTTTTTTTTGGGGGGGGCGGGGGGGTTGTGGTTGTTGTTTTTTTTTTTTTTTTTTTTAGCCCCTTTTTGGGTTGTATCTGTAAGGGCAAAAGGAAAAAAACAACCACTGGGAGTAGAAATACATTGCTGAGAACACAGAAAAATCAAGTTCAATACATTTAAAATAAGTTGCAGAAGATATTTGACAAGCGTCTGAGGTCGGAGAAGCCCTCTGTATTGCAATGTATTCTGTGATGTTTGAATGGTGCATTGGCTAGGCTTGATTAAGGAGGACTTTGGGCTCTCCCAGCCAATGTTCCCATCCAGCACTGCCTTGCCATGCATATGTTGTAACCCATCTTCTCTGGGACTAGCAGCACTTCTAGGAGGTGTGCAATGGTGTTGAATGACAGTCCTGCCTATGCCAGGTGAGGGCCCTCCATACAGGTTCCTTTCAGGAGATGAAAATAATATGAAGGCCCATTTTTCAGAGGAGCTTGCATGGTTCTGCACTCAGTTTGGTCACCCACATACAGGAGGGCCAGTTTTGGTTGGAAATTTTCTAAACCACTAGTGGATTTTGTGGGCGCTTTCAGAGAAGACCTACTTGGGTGTTGCAAGAACATGCAGGTGCCACCTCAGTTTGGTACAGAGCCTAGGACATTAGAGCTGCAGGGCAAGCATGCTAACCACTTAACCACTGTGATGTGCCATGTCCCAAAGCAACCAATCGGAGTTGGTTGGTGGTGATGGAAGAGTAACCTTCCATCAGTTTGGGCAGCCACATTGCAGTCTGGTTTCTGTAGACTGCTGCGCTTTTGAATGCTGCCTTCTGCCTTTTTGGAATCACCAAGCTGATAATTCAGTCTGGGCAATCGCTGAGCTCGCCGCCTGATATGTTTCTAAGTGACTCAGCGATGCGGAACTCTCCCTCTCTCTCTCTCTGGAGAGCGATTTGCAGGCTGGCTTCACAGAACATGATCTTGTTGTGTAATTAGCTTGTCGTGATGAGTGCCTAATGAGCGGGAGACTTTGTGATTGAATTTAACTTCCATCCCGATAAGTGGTGCGGACGCCCCGCGGGTCTGGATCACCTGTCCTCTGTACTGGCCATTCGCAGCAGCGTGTAAAGAAAGACCTACAGTGTGTACAATTAAGTCACCAAGGTGCACATAGACCTTCTCTTATGAGACTAAATTGTTTACTTTAAGGATTATGTTTTTGACTAGAAAGAATAACAATTTGATTTGTTGCCATGGGCAACTAGTTGGTTTGCTTTTTTTTTCTTGGATCATTCTATTGAGGTTAGTGATCAATGTCATGAGCATTCCAGGCTACAGGAGGCTCACCAGTTAATGCATCTTGCTCAGCAGTGTGTGCTGTGCATCGGTATCTTTTGGTTCTGACAAAGCCATAGAGAACGAGGGTGGACTTTGTATTAGTTTTTTGCAATCTAGGAAAAATGGGGGCATTTTCATCATAAAACTCATTTCCCAGGGTTTGGTACATTTGGCCAGACTTTAAGAGGTTCCTGTAGATAAGAATGCCGCGTCTAAGAGGTTTGCGTGAGGATTTTATGGTGTTCCTACTAGTGGTTTTAAGTGACGTGGAGCTTGAGTAATAATTTTCAGGTGGTGTTTAAATAGCTAAATGCTGAGTAATGACTAGTCATCTCGGCTAGGGACAATGGGAAGAACGACGGAGCGGGAAATTCTAGGGTTATGCCGGAATCCAAGGGAACTTACTAAGTTTCCTCTTATATTTATTCATAT